TGTCACCACAAGACTCCTTTCCTTGTGGTTCTGTGGTGCTATCCTGCCAGCAACCAAGTGTAGCTGTATGTGTAGCTCTTATTTTGGACATTTAATTTTCTTTTGTTTTGTCTCCTCACCTACTCTTATGAGTTTTTAAAAATTTTTATTTACTTATTTATTTTTGAGACAAGGTCTCACTATGTAGCCCAGGCTGGTCTCAAACTCCTGGTGATCCTCCTGCCTCAGCCTTCCAAGTGCTTGAATTACAGATGTGTGCCACCAGGCCCAGCAAAAACATAAGCTATATTAGAAAAAAAAAAAGCAACCTAGACCCCCTACACGTCTTAGCTATTTTTAATCTTTTGCTCTATTTAACTTAATCCTCACAAAAATCCTATGAAGTAAAGTAACTTGTTATTGTTACTGAGCCACACCTTCAGTCCTGGCTGAAGCAGTTCTGGTTTTTATCTCCACCACACAGACTGGCAAACTCAAAGAAATAATTTGCTCATACTCATATGGCTAGCTATCAAGTGTCTTGGGGATGGTCTAAGAAAAGTCAAATTGGTATGATTCAAGAAATAATTACTTGAGGGCCAGGGGTTTAGCTCAGTGATGCCGCCGCCTGCTTTGCAAGCACAAGGTCCTGAGTTCGATCCCCGGTACCAAAAAAAAAAAGAAATAATTACTTGAGTGCTACACATACTGCCTCCTTAACATTAAGCAGCCTATATACCCATCAACAGATGAATGAATAAAGAAAATATGGTATATTTACAGTGGAGTACTACTTAGACATAAAGAAGGCTACACTGAGTCACTGATAGGAAAATGGATGCACCTTGGGACCATTATGCTAAGTGGAATAAATCAGACATGGCAGGTTACATGTTCATGATGGGGCTGTAATTCGTATGTCCCACTGTCTCACTGCTGGGCAGCTCTGACCCACCAGTGGTACACTCAATTACAGATACACTAGCAACGAGGTCTCACTACACAGAGGTCACAACAAATCAGTTGCCTGCAGGCTCATCCAAAGCTGCTCGGTGAGTAGCAAGGGATGAGCCACATCCGGTGGCAGGCTTTACAGTGGCAAATGAGGGACACGCTGCAGCCATACAACTGCACCTGGGGACAGGCTGAGTCAGAATCAGACACGAAGTCCATGCCTGACCCATTCCCATGCTGTGCACCTAAGTCACAGCTTCCTCGGTAAGCACACTTACTAACCCTTCCCAAGTCAGTGAGGTCGAACACCACTGGCGAGCTTCTCCAAAAAGGGAGAAGATCCCGGAAACCATCCCCCTTCCCCATTCTACCATGGAAAAATTGTCTTCCACAAAACTCGTACCTGGTGCCAAAAAGGTTAGGGGCCATAGCTCTAAATCACCTATTTTCGGTTAAGAGTCTGTCTGGCCATCGTAAGAGACCACTTCCAGGTAAGTCTCTGGAAAACGAAACAACAGGAGGCCAAAGCTCCCCAGATGCCTTCCATAGCCCTCTGTCCCAAGGGGGACAGTCGCACTCCTTGCCTAGAGGTGTGGGCCTTTGGGGCATGGGTGTCCTCCCACCACCTGCTATAAGTCCTGTAGGACCCTTCTCTCTTCCTTTCAGGTCATGCTCACCGACTCACTTTCTTCTGCAAGCAAGGCCTTTCCCACAGCTGCCCTGTCTCTTATTCTGGCTACTTCCTCCTTTTCCTTTAGTGTGTTTTTCCTAATGACACTGCCTCTTCTGTGTCCTCACCCTAGCATGTCACACTGTCCTGAAGTTCAGCTTTGTCTCCCCAACTACAATTAAGACAACTAAGACTGGGCCGGCACTGTCAGTGGTGGCTAACAGAAAAGGTATTTGCTACAAAGTCCGAAGAGAAATCAAGGGCACGTGTGTGTGTGCACGTGTGTGAGTGTGTGCACGTGTGTGCCTGCATGCATGTGCACCAGGGACTGAATTCAGGGCCTTGAGCATGCTAAGCACGCACTCTAACACTGGGGGACGTGACTTCCAATAGGCCCAGGGCAGTCTGGTAGAGGCACAGAACAAGGCTCAGGGAAGAAGAGATGGACACGGTTTCTGAGATGGACCTGGGCTTTCAGCTGAGACAGAAACAGAACCGAGTGACGGAAAGGCCAGATGGCGGCCACATCAGTACCGCGCAGGCTGGGACACCCTGAGACGCCAGCAGAAGCTGAGCGTCCCTAGGAAGCATGGCACCAAACCAATGGCTCGGCCCTGGGGCAGTGCCTGTGCTCTGTCTCCTTCTGACAGCCATGGAGGAAGGGCAGATGGAGGCGGGACACCTCAGCAAGGAGCAGCAGCCGCCCCGGTGGGGACCTCCTCAAGCAAACAAGACCTGACCTTCCAAACTGGGTGGGAGGGGAGGCCGTGTGAGGGCCCTGCCTGCTCCACAGCGCCAGGCTGCTCCCCTGCTTGGAGTCCTTGGTGCCAGTCCAGGGCAGGTAGCCTGGAAGCTGTGAGGGCTCTGGGAACTTCTTGGCTAAGGGAGTACTCGCTGGCTTTGCCATTAAAAACATAGCATTATTTTCTTTAACATCTTCCCCTGGAGCACCACGCTAGCCTTCCGCTAGTGAAGAGGACCAAAGGAAGAAGTGTACGTGTCCAGGCTAGGTTGTCCAGGTTTTCTAAGGACTTCCTATAGTCCAGGCTGCCCTTGAACTCACTATGAGGCCCAGGCTGGCCTCAGACTCACAGCAACCCTCCTGCCTCAGCCTTCTCCGTCCTGAGGTTACAGGCGTGTGTGCCACCACGCCTGGCTAATTAATTCCCATTTTTATGGGCACTCATTGTTCACTGAAAGGCAGCATCAGAAACCTAAGAGAAGGAAACCACTGCAGTCTCTTAAGTATTTCATGACATCTTCCACAAGCTTAGCTGTGCCCCAAACAAGAGCTAACTTTTCTTTTTAGAAGAAAAATTCAGAATCTAGACATCAGAGTGCTGTGGATGTTTTAGAAATTAGATAATCTTCTAGCACGGGAAATACCTTTAAATAGTTATTTTTCTCAAAATCTGGAGAGATTTGCTGGGGATTTAGCTCAGTGGTTCCGGCACCTGCCTCGCAAGTGCAAGGACCCAAGTTTGATGCCAGTACCAAAAAAAAAAAAAAAAAAAGGAGAGATTTATTAACATTTAGGCAGCTTCAACAATTAAAAAAAAAAAAATCTTCAAATAGGAAAGGCTTCTGTCTCCAAGTTATCCCTTCTGTTAGAAATGATTCCCAGAAAATAAATGCCAGAGACAGGACACCATGCTAAAAGCTTCTGATTTGAGTTTAGGAAGCTTCTCCCACTTTTCCTAAAAATGATGGACCTTAGCCGGGCATGGTAGCGCATGCCTGTAATCCCAGCACTTGGGAGGCTGAGGCAGGAGGATCACTGAGTTTGAGATCAGCCTAGTTCCAGGTAAGTCTCAACTACATAGTGAGACTCTGCCTCAAAAAAACCAAAACCAAACCAAAACAACAACAACAAAAAAGTTGGGACCTGGGTTGCAAACATGAATGATTCATTTTCTGCCAGATATGAAAACTGACTCACAACATGTTCCTTTTTGGGTGAGCAAAGTGTCTACTGGGAAGACAATCAGAAAGCTGGTGGGGAGCCCATAGAGCTCCCGGACTCCCGGGGTTGTGTGGGCTGTGCGGTGAATACACGTGTGTGACATTCTGATGGCCTGTGCTTCGGTTTAAGTGCAGCGTCATCTGACGGTCAGGAGGTCAGCTTGGAGAGCCCCGTGGGGTTTAGTGGATTGTGCGGGACGCTAACCATCGGGGCCAGGTTCTCCTTACTGAATCAGCTCGGCGGAGTTCACGAAGGCTGCGGAACCCAGCTGAGCTAGACGCTTACAAGGAGAGCAGGGACCCACGGACGTGCAGCTCTGAAGGCAGGGAGCAGAACGACAAGCTGTTGCTGGGTTCCGGCAATGCCCTTACCCAGGAGCAGGCAGAATAAACGAGGGGTGCTGAGGAACAGACCCTGGTCCACCTGAGCCTGCCTGCTTTTCCGCTTAAAAACAAAGAAAAAAAGAAAGGCTTGGCAATTCCAGATGTCTGAACAGCAATCACTTTCCAAAGAGCCAGAGACCCTGACTGGAAAAGGGCTCTGGGGGATTAGAGCCCTGGATGCCACCAGTCAGCAACAGACAAGCACCTCCTCCGTGGATCCCAGCTCAGAAATGGCAACCACACGTTCCCATGACACAGTTTCTGCTGTAGGGACTGAGACCTGTAGTACAGTTCAGTGAGAAGCTTATTTACAGGATGTTTCTTGGATTTAGCTCAGTGGTTCCGCCACCTGCCTCATAAGCAAAAGGACCTGAGCTCAATCCCTGATACCAAAAAAAAAAAAAAAAAAAAAAAAAAAAAAAAAAAAAAAAAAAACGAAAAGAAAGAAAGATGACTATGTAAACTCCATGAAGTCAGGTTTGGCTTCCTAAGAGACTTACTCTACCTTCCTATTTCTAGAACTTTTCTAGGTTGGAAAATTTCAAATATGAGATCATGTTAGATCCAAGTTGAATAAGGATTTTGTAAAACATTGAATGACGACCAGAGAAAGGACTACCCAGCCTAGTTAAAAGCCCATTCAGCAGGATGCCAAAATATATCAGAGACTCCTGTAAACATCATGGACTACATTAACAGGCCTCCCTCTGTGAGTCTCCTAAGTCCCAGTTCTCTTTCCCCCACCCCACCCGCAGCCTGTGGTTACACAACCTTTAGGACGGGTTTGGAAATTCCTGTGACCCTGCCTTCTTGTTGATAGAGCTGAGCCAGGGGCTGGCAGGGGCAGAATCTAATAGGCGAAACTGGAAACACAAATTTGTAGTCCTCTTGTCTCAGCCCAGAGACTGAGCAGGAAAGGAAAGAAAGCTTCCCTCCCCTCCTCTGGCCAAAGTTCACACTGACTTCACCCAACAGGCACCTGACCCTCCCAGACCAGGTGGGAGGGGCTAGGAGTGGAGGGGCAGGCACAGGCAATATTTAAGATGCTGTCTTGGGAGAGCAGTCAGGCTTGAGAAGGAAAGCGACAGGGAACCCATTAGGCTCCACTTTCAGAAACTCAAGCTTTCTGAGGAAGGTGAAGGAAGAGTGAGGAAAGAGAGAACAGCACAGTGAGGTCATCCAGAGTGAGGGTAGAAGGCTTGCTGCAGCTCCGCAGACCTCTGCTGGCCATATCAGCCTCCCCTGAAGGAAGACCCCTTCCCCCGGCCCCACGGAAGATGCTCACCAAGACTCTCTTGACTGTGACCTGGCTCGGCATTTTCATCATGGCTTTTGCCAGCCCCCCAGTGCGACTGCAAAAGCCCCCTAAGCACAAGACACACCCCCAGGTTCAAGGGGCCACCTGCTGCAAGGAGGTGAAGGAGCTCAAGGCGCACACGGCCAACCTGAGCGGTGTGCTGAGCGAACTGAGCCAGAAGCAGGAGCGGGACTGGGTCAGCGTGGTCATGCAGGTGATGGAGCTGGAAAGTGCCAGCAAGCGCCTGGAGTCGCGGCTCACAGACGCCGAGAGCAAGTACTCAGAGATGAACAACCAGCTGGGCATTGTGCAGCTGCAGGCGGCGCAGACTGTCACACAGACCTCGGCAGGTAAGAGCATGTGTCCCCACACCACTCGGTGTTCTACTCCAGGCACCCCTGTCCCTGGGCTGCTTTAGGTTACCTGCTCCCTAGAACAGTTACGGAAGCTCCTGCAGGGGCCCATTCTTTTTACTGAAGGCTCTCCTTTCTAATGTTCTGTAAACGTGCCCAGTACCTCCATGGTCTCTTATTCACATAATGTTGCAGCAACTGGGCTAGGGATTTAGCTCAGTGGTTCCACTGCCTGCCTCGCAAGCATAAGGTCCCACATTCGATCCCCGGTATCAAAAACAAAAAACAAAACAAAATAACCCACAATGTTTCAGCAACTTAGGAAGGCACGAATTCTCATCATGGGGCTCTAAGCAGTTAAGGGTTTGCCCAGAGTCACAAGCAAGTTGCAGAGGTGGGGCTCACATCTTCACGGTTGGTGCAGCTGTGCCAATTCCTTACCAAGAGCTGATGAACCAAACGCCTAACTGCAAGCAGGAATGGACACCAAACCATGACATCTGCTGCTCTGTTTGCAAAGTTTTGCCAAAAAAAGTTTTCCGGTGTCCCCAAGATGTGGCAGGAATGGGCATTAAGGGATTTTGTGTCCTGTCTCTGAAAACCAAACTCTTCTTGGTAGAGAGAATTAAGTGTAGAGACACCTACTGCCCGTGGAAGAAGCTCTTTGTGCTCAGGGAAGGACAGGCTCCTCCCAGCCTTAATTCTGATATTTCCATTTCCCCATGGTCTCAAATGAAATTCTCCCAAGAAATATAAGAAATAACCAAGTGAAATGCTGAAATATGGATTTTAATGGCCCCAAATAAGGTACATTTAATATTTTCTTTTGCAAAGTAACTTTTAGTTGGCTAGCTTGGCACAGATGGCCCAACATGCATTTGGTTTAGAGATAAATCTGGTTTTCTGAAATTACCAAATTAGCTGATGGAACATATGCTACAGATAGGTCATTTTGCTAACATTACAAACCAGATCAAGAGCAAAGACGTGACCAGCTTCTAATGAGTAAGTCACTGGCTACTTCAGTTCAAGTGCAACAGAAAGTTATTCTTGGGCCACTTTCCAGGCAAGTGAGTCCTGATAGGGCCGTAAAATGAAACCAGACGTGTGGAAGGTGAGGCCAGGCGGAGAATCTGACCGTGCCACATCCAGCTCCTCCTAACAGGGCACATTCTCAGAACCCAGGCAGGGAGTCCCTTGAGGTGGGGTGCCGCCCACCTGCCCACCCTCTTGCTCTGCCTGCCCAGGGCACTGTTCCTGTTTTTCTTCTCTGTGCCCAGCCAGGTCACCTCTGTACTCTCTGAGGAGGCAGTCTGTTGGAGCGAACAGTGAGTTGAGACTTTCACCATGGAGGCCATGCAGAACTCGAGGCTACCGGAGAGTGTTCCCACTCCCCTTCTCCCAACATACTCTGCGGGGGACTGAGGCACTCGGGATGACTTTCATGGTAGCACTGTTACCATCTGCCATCCTTGTGCTCTCCTCTAAGACCCCAGGTCACCAAGGGAAAAAAAAATCACAAGGCAGGGAGGGCAGAAGGCATCTCCAGACCAGAAGAGTTCATTTTCTGACTCCTCCTGGAAAAGGCTTTTACAGTCTGGTTTGATATTTATTGCAGGAAGAGAACCCAGCATAAAGTAGTAGCCCCAAGGGCAGCCAAGGAAGTATTTAAACCAAGCCCAGAAGGACAACTAGGAAATCTCATTTCCTTACTTTAACAAAACTTTCAGGAGAAGACTTCAAAAGGTTCTTCCCATTTTTGGTTTGAGGTTTTAGTGTTGTTAAATTAGGGCAGGGGGAAAGATAAGGCTGAATTAAGATCACCATTAATTAGGGCTCCAGTTGGAAGTAGCCATTACTTCTGAGAGACAACAAAAACCAAGAAACACAAACCAGGCCCCAGAGATCCTCAGACTTGTCCAAGAAGTCTGAAGCTACTCACAGGGGCATCTGCAATGTGGCCCTCACACACCAGACCACTTCTAGAATTCATGGCCCAGAACTACAGCAGGATAATCTATTTTAATTTAGCCTGAAACCACTTGTTTGTCACACAGACACTGTCCGGGGAAGGGCTTCCTACCCTCTGCTCCACCACTGGAGAAGCCCAAACATGCCCCCAGTTGATCTCCCTGGGCCCATCTCGCCAAATCCAGAGACTGCCTGGGAATGAACACCCACGGTGTCCCCAGGAGGAGAGAAGTCTCAGGCTTTGGCCTTCCTGTGCGATGCGGAGTCTGCTCACCCTGTGCTTGCTCTGTTTTCAGATGCCATCTATGACTGCTCTTCCCTCTACCAGAAGAACTACCACATCTCCGGGGTATACAAGCTTCCTCCGGATGAATTCCTGGGCAGCCCTGAGCTGGAGGTGAACTCACTGCCTGTAACGTGCTGTCCGTGCTCCACCCCTCAAGCATAAGGACCTCAGGGCTAGTCGTGGTCTAAGAAAGGGAACCTCAGAGGAGCTGTGCAAACACTCCATTTATGGGTCCCTACCCCACGAAGCTGGGCATATGGTCAGTCCCTTCAATTCACTGTCAACCAAACACAATCTTCTAATGTAGATTACATGATCTTCACTTGATCTTAGCCGAAAGGCCAAGAAGAGATGGGTTAGATAATTCTTGCAGCCACCACATCACTAGTTTACATCTTTGGCAGTCCTGGGGAAGGTGCGAAGGGAGAATGTGAAGGGGACGTACTGGAAGTATCTGCACTGCCCCCCAAGCTGTATTACACACATTCCCCCCATCTCAATTTGGCCAGTTCCTCCTGAGCCAACCAGTGGGTCCCAGCTCTCCAACACTGTCAAGCAGCACTGCTGTCACAGTGACACAGGGTGACAACAGGGGTACACACAGTGCTGCCAGTGGGGACAGGAGGAGACCGCCCTCAAGCCCTCGCCACCTGCCCCACAAGTCCTGAACGGAGCGCCCTTTCTGCTCAGGTGTTCTGTGACATGGAGACTTCGGGTGGAGGCTGGACCATCATCCAGAGACGGAGGAGCGGCCTTGTCTCCTTCTACCAGGACTGGCAGCAGTACAAGCAGGGCTTCGGCAGCATCCGTGGGGACTTCTGGCTGGGAAATGAACATGTCCACCGGCTCACCAGACAGCCAACCCAGCTCCGTGTGGAGCTGGAGGTGAGCGTGAGGCCTGGGGCACCGGGACTGGCTCAGGTCTGTGGCACGAGACAGTGCAGGGCCCTGCGGATGCAACCCGAGTCTGCATTGCACACCAGCCTGTGCAGGCCATGTGGGGCTCTTGTAGGTTGCAGCAAAGATGAGGAAGAAATTTTGCGTTTCTCTTTTTTACTTCCTGTTTCTTAGCAAAGTAGTTCTGCAGGGGGAGGCACAGTACAAGGTGGACCCAGGCCAGGGCAGCTGGGCCAAACACCACTGTCTCTGCTCAGGCCTGGGGCATAAGGACGTTTACGCAAATCTCAGTGATACCTGCTGGTGACCTCCAGAAGGTGTTAACACCCACTTGTTGCTCTCCTGACATTTCTGAGGGGGATTCAGCAAAAACACAGATCTATGCCTTCAGATAGGGAAGTGAGGAACACGGAAAGACGAACCGAGGACACATGGCTAATAGAGGGGAAAGTCTAACCAAGGACCTTGGGGTGCTTATTCCCAGCTAATATGGTAAACTACAGGCAACGAGAAGTAACATCCTACCATTTCCCGCCCATAAACAGATACTTGGCTGAGGGGAGAGGAGAGGTACGGGGCATGTGAATGAAGCCCGCTGCAGCTTCTCTAAGCCTCTGTTTCTCTGCCAGGACTGGGAGGGTGAGGTGCGCTACGCCGAGTACAGCCACTTTGCTGTGGCCAACGAAGTGAACAGCTACCGCCTCTTCCTGGGGAACTACAGGGGCGACGCGGGGAACAACGCTCTCCTCTACCACAACAACACGGCCTTCAGCACCAAGGACAAGGACAATGACAACTGCCTGGACAAGTGTGCGCAGCTCCGCAAAGGTGAGATGGGGACAGGGAAGGAGCAGGTAAAACAAGCCCACAATCTGTGTCAGGGCCAGGCAGATGGTGTCCTTCCCGCTGTGGGCTCCAAGGCCTTCCCTGTGGCTAAGCAGCCACTGTCTGTTTGGAGGGGAGGGCACCCTCAGCTTACCAGCCCTGGTCTGTTTCTTATGCCAGGTGGATACTGGTACAACTGCTGCACGGACTCCAACCTCAATGGGGTGTACTACCGCCAGGGGGACCACAGGCAGCACCTGGACGGCATCACCTGGTACGGCTGGCACGGCGCCAGCTACTCCCTCAAACGGGTGGAGATGAAAATCCGCCCCGAAGGCTTCAGGCCCTGAAAGAAGGCTGCTGAGGAGCAGGGCCACAGCAAGGGGACACAGAGACTGGGAGGGCTGTGTGGGACAGGAAGCGGCTGTAGAGAGAAAGGGCAGGATGGGCAATGGCCTGCGAGCTCCAAGGGGAGAGTACCTCTCCGAGAGACATAAAATAATTTAATATATACGCAGTCAAAGCCAGCACAGGCACACAGTAAAAGGGTTTGCATCAAGGATGTCCTGGAAATGGGATGACCCAGCAGGTCCTGCCATGTACTACTTACTCAGGGCCGGTGGAGTGGGCTCACTCTGGCCCCCGCCCCTGACAAAACAACTGTTTATCCGTTTTCTCTAAGTTATGTGAGTCAAAAAGCAAATACCTGTGCTAAAAAGAACTGTGTTACTTTGACTCTCAAAGGTGAAGCCTGAGTGTCACAAAAGGGAGCAGAAGTGGGTGACAGAGGCGAGGAGATTCTGCTTTTAAATCAAACGAAATCATCGTTAGCACACACAAAAGCTGCTGGGCCGGAGATGAGCTGTGTCTGCTGAGACCCCAGGGCCCTGGGCCTCTCGATGGGACCCTTGGAGCCCCTCCTGTCAACTGGGTCAGGGAACGGCACCTAGAGAGAGGCGAGGTGTGGGTCTGGAGCAGCAGGGAGTACAGGGGCGGTGGGATGGGGATGCAGCCCCTCGTGGACCCGCGCACAAACCTGCCTACAACTGTCACAGTCAACAGCAACACATCTATTTTTATTAACTTTGTAAGAAATGGGCTCAAAGAGCTTCCTTTTTTATCTTGTTGATAAGAAATGGCTGAAAAATGAAGACAGGCGGAGCTATGGTTAACATTTCAAGCTGTATATAAGCACCTTGCTTTGTAAACATAAAATACTGTAGTTTGTGACTTAAATGTTCAAAATGTCTCTTCCTTGTATGGTCAATACTTAAAACTTGAGTATTGAAAAAAATTTTTTCTAGTTACCACTTAGAACGTGGTAAAATTTCAAGTAAAAAAACCCAGTTTGTAGTAAGAAGGAGACTCTGAGTCTGTTGTAGGATTCAGGGAAACCGAGGAGGAGCAGGAAGCCAAAAGGAAAGGAAAGGAAAGGAAAGATGAGTGACAAGGGGGCAGCAGCCCTGGGGAGGGACCAGATCCTGGGCCACTCACTAACACAGGGTTTTAACATTCTTTGCAAACCCTTCCTATCTTCTACGTAAAAACAAAGAGAAGAAATTATCTTTAACACAAGAGATGTCAAGTAATCCTGACTGTTGGGAGTCCAGCTAAGCCATCCCTCTGGCTCAGTGCTCCAGTTGTGCCAAAGCCCTCTGGCCGTTAGGAACCTACTTCAGCTTAAAAATGAGGACCTTGAGGGTCAGGGTTTTCAAAGAAACAAAGAGACAAAGCAGGCCTACACTGGAGCAGGGCTTCCTACAGAACAGAAATCCACATAGAGGCTTCCTCAGGCAGGCAGGAGGGCCTGGGGTGCCACCCCACACTGCCAGGGGAGTGGACACCAAGAACCAGGCTTAAACAGAAGACAGAGAGGCCCACGGCAGAAACACATGGCGATCTTTCTCATCTCCCTAAGGGTTATCATTCAAACCAGCTTTGTGGTCTTCTTCACGCCCTCATCTTTCTGTGGTGCTGGAGACTGGATTTAGGGCCTCCAGCACGCTGGCCCAGTGCTCTATCGCTGAGCTATTCCCCCAGCTCTTTTTGTTTTTCATTTTGAGACAGGATCTTGTTAAGCTGCCCAGAATGGCCTCAAACCCATGATCCTCCTGTCTCAGCCTCCCCAGCAGTTGGGATTATAGATGTGTGTCACCTTCCTTCACTGTTGTGGGAGAAACTTCTCAGAAAGAAAGGCAGCGGGGGGAGGGAAAGCAGTTGTCATAGAATGCACAGAACATCCCAGCCACTTCCCCTGCAGTGGTGTGGATTCCCACGGCACCTACATTTCCCAAGTACCTGTCCCGGCGCAGGCCGATGATGGGTATCAAGGGTTTGGACCATGTTCTCTGAGCCGACAGAGAACAACATCACAGGAACCAAAAGCAGAGCTCAGTGCTGCCCCTGAAGGCAAGGAACTCTCTGTTCCGACCAGGTCTTGCGAGGAGGAGGCACGTAGACACATGGTACTGTGCAGAAGACACACAAAGCAGCCTGACAGGCATGTCCGCCTGCTACATACGCACTGGCCCCTGCTTTTTAGTCTTCTGAATCAGAAGAATTTTTCAAAGGGGGACCACAAGCCAGGGGCTGGGCGCTAATCAGACCCTGTACCTTACTTAGAGTGGAAGAAGAAAGAGTCCAGCGGACCTCTGGCTAACCAGGTAAAAGCCACACGGTTTTGCAGGTGGGTATATCTCTTAATACTCCTGTCCCCTCTTAATCTACTGTCCCCCTAGGAGGCAACTGTGCCGCTCCAAGGACATGGCACTGTTTGTATCGTCTCAGTGTCGGGCCTGGCGTGGGGATAATGTGGGATTTCATTTGTCCCAGAGCAGACAGGCAAAAGGCAGCAGGCAGGAAGAGAGGCAGACTGGATCAACAGCCAGAGAACAATATCATTGACAGAGCACAGTTTTTAAAAACAAAAACAAAAAATAAGAAATGGCTTTTTTGTGTAGGATTACCCAACTGTTTGAAAAAGAAAGTGAAGCAGTGGCCTTAAATATAAGCTTACATAATAAGCTCTAAAAGAGTAAGTGGTAAAGGCAGTGTAAGAGTAGCAAAAGTAAAGCAATGCAGGTGGGAGGTGGAGTTAATAATTACAACAGGTAGAAGTGGGGGACACTCCATCTGGGAGTGCTTCAGAAGCTGCTGTGAGGAAAGCAATCTATGACTGAAAAGCCACATTCCCAACACCAGACAAAGTAGTGGCTCCCAGCAGCACAACCCTGGGGTGAGTCCTGGGGGAGTCCCCAGGCCATGCCCTTTCTGGGGCAGGACCTCGCACTGAGATGAAACAAATGAATGGGTTGAGGCGCTCAGAGCAAGAGGCTTCCCTCAGCATGAAGTTAAAAAAAAAAAAAAAAAAAAAAATAGCCACAATCAATTTGCAGAGAATTTTGCTTCATTTTGGTTTTTGGACACAGGGTCTCGCTGTGCAGTCCAGGCTGGCCTTTACCTCACTATGTGGCCCAGGCTGGCCTCAGACTGGCAGGGATCCTCCTGCCTCAGCTTCCCGAGTGCTGAGGTTATAGGCATGTGCCACCACACCTGGACTTGCAGGGAAATTTGAGGACTTATTATCCGTGACATTGGCTTAAGACTAAATAAGCTCCTGAGGACTTTCTAGACATGTTCATTCTCCCTACTGCCAAGTCTGCGTTAATGCCAGTGCTTCTATGACGATCTCAGGTATGGGGAAAACCAAGATTAGCATGGAAGAGAGAGGCCTTTGATGACAGGTCTCAAACAGAAAAGGCGCAGCAAGGAGCCTAATACACAAAACTGGTTATTTCCTGGTGAGTTAATGTTTCAAGTTAGCATATTTTCTGTTAGTTATCACACGGGCTTGTGCTGCCTAAGCTGGAGAGGGGAGGAAGAAACGCTGTGGCTCCCTTGAGGCAGTTCAGAACCAGCAGTCTTCAACACCCATGTGTTGGGGCAGAAACATTACATCGCTGCCTTTTGGGTTACTGGTTAAAAAGAACACTTTGCAGCCGGGCGTGGTGGCGAACGCCTGTTATCCCAGCACTCGGGAGGCTGAGGCAGGAGGATCGCTGTGAGTTCGAGACCAGCCTGGGCTACATAGTGAGTTCCAGGTCAGTCTAACTACATAGTGAGACCTTGTTTCAAAAAACCAACCAACCAAACAAACAAACAAAAAGAACACTTTGCAGCATCTGCTCAAAGGCAGCATGGGAAAAGCACAGGGCTATTTGATTATCTGCTCAAACAGTGGAAGCACCATGCTCAGCAGGCTCCACGAGCCAACTGAGGAACCTATCCGCAGATGGTTCTTCCCGAGGGATCTGCAGCAAAATGATTGATCGTGTCAGCATTTCCACTAAGATAATTAGATCCAGAGTTAATATTCTCTGATAGTCATTAGGGAACAAGAACAGTTTTCTATGAGCTAAAGCTAATGTTCTGGGCTGCTTGTAATCTCACAACAGCAGAAAATTTTATTAAACAACCTCTTTATTCCATGCGTGGAAGACTCAAAGCCATCTTATGAGAGGAGAGAATACAACAAAGTCCAGGGAAAAGACCACCAGAGCTCACCTTTGCTCTATCTTTATATTCACAGAGCTCTAAAGGAAGACCATGGCACCAACAGACTTAGCTGCCAGTACAGTCTGATGCTGCCCAGAGAGCGTCTAACTCAGACATCAGCTTTGTCCTCCTAGGCTCCTGTGCTGTACAACTGCTCTGCTCCTGGGCTAATTTATCACTGAGACAAGATTGGAAGGTGGGAAAAGAGGGACAGTCCAAGTGGTCAACAGAAATAACAACCAGGGTTAGACGACTGGATAGAGCCATATGCAGCCACGTCATTTCAAAGAGCTGTCCAGGTCTGGTGGCGGGTTTCACACAGCAGAAATCTCCAAGCCATGCCAGCGCGGTGGCAGCAGGCAGTGGAAGAGAGGTCATTTTGGATAAAGCAGAAGATCAAAAGGGTTCACGGCCTACCTGATGAGGGACTCCAGGATGGCGGGGGTGGGACCTTTCTGGAACTCCAGTTCTTTGTAGTGCAGGGCTTTGGCGTATGCTCGGCACTTGGCAGCTCTCTCACCCAGCAGGACAATGCCATTGTCATCTCTCAATGGCAAGGGCCCCTAGAGGAGAGCAGACCCCACAGCATAGAGAGCTGGCAGATGGGGCACAGACAAGAGTGGGCTGTGCGGATGCTCTTCCCCTCCCACCAGCTGACTCCTTGTCAGCCTCCATCTGGACAAAGGGGAAGGGTCTCACCTTGTCACTGTGTTCCATGAATTCGGCCAAGTTTAACAGGGTTTGCGTGACTTCAGCAATATCTTGAGAGGTGAGGGCCAACTCGATGCTTCTGATGAGCTCATCCTGCTGGTCTTCGTTCAGTTCCGACCAGCAGGACACAAATGCAGCATTGAAGAGATCCCTGAAGGCACAGGGGAGGGGACAAAGTGGTGGAAACCGCTCTCACTCTATACCTGGCGCCACAGAGTCACAACTACCCATCTGCTTCTGGTTTGCTGCCTTTGGGTATACGGACCAGGCTGTCTCATGGGGTGTGCTGGAATGTTAACCCTAACCTAACTCTCACCAGAAAATACGACAGCCATTGGATATTTAGGACCTGAACCATGGCCAGTGAAAATGAAGAAGTGAATTTTACATTTTATTTAGTTTTAGTTAAATTAAAATAATTACATGTAGCTAATGACAACTGTACTTTACAGAACAGGTCCAGACACCATGGCAAATGGGGACTGCAGGAGGGTGGGATGGGAGAAGAGCAGAACAAAGGAACTCAGCTCCACAGATGCATCTCTCCGCAGTTTCTGCATCAGTTCTTTAAAATGGAGGGATGAATAGGAAGGGGACTTGTAACATGGAGTTGGCATTAACACATTAAGAAAATAATCTTCCAATGATTCTTGAGCTGTTTTTTTTTAAAGGGCAGTACCCAGATTTCTAAGAAATGGCAAAGACAGCACTTGCTATTGCTTTCCAAATACAATCAGGACCTTTAGTTGAATGATCATTAAAAATGACAATACAAGAAATTAGAAACATTAGCAAATACAGTCCAAATCCACAGGTTTTTCTTCCTTCCTTCCTCTGTGTGTGTGTATGTGTGTGTGTGTGTGATACCAAGGATTGAACCCAAGGCCCCAAGCAAACAATTT